CCGCATCCCGATGACGGGATTTGAACGTCACTGGGAATTGCCTCTCGTGCGCTTCACTTCGAGATGGAGTTGCATCTCCTGATCGTACCTGAGATTGCTTTGAATTTGTTGACGGATGGGATGAAACGCATCTGAGGATGATGGAAAGCAGTAGTCTTAGATCCTTCCTTGTTGCCAGAGTATTCTGTGTATGAATGGTAAATTAGGCCTTAATACTTAAGCAATGCATCATGAATACCACACCGAAGTGGGCCCAGACCATTCCCGTAATATGGAATCCTAGGTCAGAGCATCAGCATCGTACTTTCAGTAAGCACGAGCGCGACTCACGACTTCTGGTTCACCACCTGACTGCTTGTTATGCTGAGGCGACTCCCTCTGAACTAATGACCGTATAACTCGGTCGATCACTTCCCCCGGGGTAATCATGTCTCTCGTCATTGATGAACTGACATTGTTGGCAAAGTTGTTAGGAGGACCCTCGTTGTCACCATGGTCGGCCTCTTCGAACCAACTAGAAACGTTGCTGGGATTCCAACTGATGCTCTCAATTCCGTCGCTAGTGCGAAGCTGAGTCTCCGTCAGTGGTAACGGTGGATGACCGCTGGTGACCGCTGGGATATACATGGAGATTGGAAAGCCGTTCCAAGATGCTAAATCCGGAGGACGATCATTAGTGAAACAAGGCGTCTGATGATTGACAACCGTGATTTCCGGAGCAGTATCGATATCCATGGGAACACCGGTATTATTGCGTTGATCGTGTTCAAGTGTACCTTCGGTGATCGCCTGCCCAACGTTAGCGTCTGAGCCTCCGAGCAAATGATTGAGTCCTGCTGGTTCCCAACGAAGAGGCCGGTTTCTTGGGTGATTGTATTCGTTCTCAGAACGATAAAGATGCGAAACGGGGGCTGGTCTCATTGTATCTTCCGCTACAATGATTGAATCAAGTCTCTGATCATGCGGGACAGATTTTGGTTGCTCTGCGCGAGAATGAAGATGTCGAGCGGTTCCAACCGACGCTCTCAACATACCTTCACCACGCATCTGCAAGATAGTAGTTTTCTCCAGGAGCAGATCTTGTGATCGAGTCGCAGAATAAAGGAAGGGAGACGGTGAAGAGTTAGACTCGCCAAGCCTTATGTCAGCATTATCGACAGATCTCCAAGGAACATTGCATAGATCGCCCGGAAGAGATTCCTTTCGTCCGAGACCAGATGCAGATGAAGAATTTCGATGTGATATATCAATGACAACGGGCATTGATGAGAAGTGTGGCATGTGATTGGCAGTGGATCGATCCTATATAATCATTTGGCATATAGAAATGATTAGTAGATGGACAATCTGCGCAGAAAGAGACACACCGGTGTGTGAGTATAATCAGTCCGTGACACTGGTGCTTGAACCCCCTCC